ACCTAGACAGACTGCAAATGCCTTGACAGTGACCCTTCCTGAAGTCACTGGAGGATGGGGAAGGCGAACCATCATCGCCGATGGATGCAGGAGAGGCAGAGCGGACCGCAAGGGCTCGCCCAACCTGCAGAGTATTTACATGCAGCATAACCCCGTGAAGTCAAACCACATGCCCTAGCAGTCCTGTCCCAGGATGCCCGGGTTCAGCCCCGGGGGAGCGTTTCTGCACACACCAGCCACAGCCTGCGGTTTGGGTACAAGCAGCGCAGCGGGGACAGACTCTGGGCGCAGACGCTGGCCCTTGGAGCCGCCGAGGGCCTGGTTTGACCGAGCCTGGCTTGCTTGACCCCACAGCTACAGAGATGAAGCTGGGAAAACTGGCACTCCACCAGAGCTAATGGGAGCTTTGCTCCTGCAAAAAGAAGGCAAATAAGGCAAAACGGGTGCGTGCCAAAGGAAGACAGGAAGGCGCCTGCATAACAAGGCTATTCTGCACGCTGGTGCAATCCTGCGCTCGGCACGGGGCGGACGAGGAGCCGGAGACGGCACCGTGCGGCGCTGGGGGCCCGGCGGCTCCAGCTGAAGATGGAGGGCTCCCACTGTCTTGGCTTGCACACTCTCAACCTCGACAGCGGTCTCATAAACGGGGCAGAAAACCTGTACTGAAACCTGGTAGATATCCCCTCAACGCTGCCCTTGGGTTTTCCTCACTCCCTTTTCCAATACTGCTTTTCCATTCTCATCTCTTCCTCACTTTTTGCTTTTAGCCACAAGGGAACCTCTCACCCAGGCTGAGAGGCTATCAAGGGGCAGCTGTGAAGTCCATCCATCTTCGGGCACCCCAGGGCTTTTCCAAAGTTGTTGTGAAAAGTTGGTGCTCTGGCCAAAGGGGAGAAAAACAGGAGAGGGGAGAAGAAAGAGAAACGGACAAAAGAATGAGGAGGAAACTATCTGGAGACATCAGTTTTCAGTACCATAAAGAGCCATCAGCACTGCAAGAACGTGGAGAACGGGCAACTATGGAGCAAAATAAAAACAGAAACTAACACAAAGGAAAATAATCATTGTATTTTTACGTCCTGCATTTTACCATGAAATACATTTTTCTGAAGACTATCACAAGGCTTCAGGATGGAATAAAACACCAGAGGTGCTCTGCCAGGCTGCCGGGAGGAGAGTAAACCTTGGGGGAAGCTTGGAGACACATCTTGGCTTGCTTTGCTGGTGGTGAAGCTTTCTCACCACAGCTCGGGCAACAGCAGCCGGAAGGAGCCAGGTCTCAGGAGGAAGACGCAAAAGCACAGGCCAGCAGGTTCCCAAGGCTTTGCCATTCAGCACTGCACTTGCCGGCAGAGACAGGGCTTTGGCCAGAGAATATTAATGGCCTGGCAAGAAGAAAGCCGGGGTCTTTTCCTCACTGTTCCTGCAGGGAAGGGCCAAGGGCGAGAGCTCAACCGCTGCGGCGCTCGCCCAAGCGGGCTGGGCGCAGCAGGAAGCTGCCAAGAAAGCGGATCGGGGCTATTGATGCGAGGGCACATCCCAGCAACAATGGAAAGGCCGGCGTCAGCGGGAGCCCGCGGGGGGAACGTTCCCGCGAACAAAGCAGCAGTGTTGGCAGGCCAGCCGGCCGTGGTCAGACAAGCCAAGGGGGCGGCAACGCAGGCTGGAAATATGGGGACAAAACGACTGCAGAGAAGGGCAGGTTCCTTCCCTCTCGGCCCCGCTTCCCCTGCCACTTGGGGGTGTTTAATCGATTACACACAAAAAAGACACTCTGCAGGGCATGTGGCAATCTCCGTAAATAATCCTGGGAAGGGGGAACTTTTGCCCCAAGAAATGCGTTTTTTTTTCTTTTGCCCTTTCCGCGAGGAGTGTTGGTGCCTGATGCAGGAGGTGCTGAGCTGTCAGGAGGGTCACCTGCACCACCGGCTGCTCCTTCAGCCTTCCCCCATCTGGCACTGGAGTTTTGCTCCTACTGGAGACGGAGGAAAATTTATGGGTGGCAAAGCTCTTGGGTGCAGAGAAGGGACCCAAGAGAAAGACTTAATGTTTGCAAGCTCTCTCTACTGGCAAAGAGAGGTACGGATTTGCCAGGTAACCTGGGTGGGATGGAGAGTGGAAGAGGAGCAAAGCTCTGCTCACAGGATGCTGCAGATGTGCCTGGGGGAGGAAACGATATCCCAGTACGCACCAAGCCACCTCAGCCCCTCACACCTGAATTCACTGAAACCAAAGACAAGACCATCAACTTGATGCCCTTTACACGGGCAAGGAGAAAACCCAAGCCCAACGCCTCTTCAGCACATTGTACAGGGAGATGAGTCCACGGGCACCTCCAGCTGTGCCTCAGGTGATGCCACCCACGGAGGGGGCTGTTCCAGTGCGGGTGCAGGTGGGATGCGCAGCACACAGTGCCCATAGGACTTGTCCTGGCCCCTCGCTGGCCCCAAGCATGAGCACTGCAAAAAGCCCCCAGGACCATCCCCTCACCGTCAGAAAGCACACAGCCCAGGCAAGGCTGCTTCTCCAGGGAGACCCTGGAGACCTCTCAGCCCCACGTCCAAGGTTTCTTTCTCATCTAGCTCCCAACACCCCTTTCCCTTCCTCTCTTCCTGAGCGGAGTCACTTTGCATGCCCCCTCCACTCTGCTCCTGGCTCTTCCTCCCCTTTCCGGGCCAGATAAACCCTCTGGCTGGCTGCGCTGCCACAAGTGCTGAGCTGGTGTAGCCCACGGAGCCGCAAACAAACCCCTTTCATCCCCAGCAGAGGGGATTAACCAATGATTTGCTGATTCACGTTTCAGAGGCTGCTGTGTTGTGCAGGCGAGAAAACTTTGCTGTCAGCAAAGGGCTTGCTGGGAATTGCAGCTGCCCGCAGAGAAAACTGTCCCTGCCAGCCCCGCTGCCCAGAGCCGTGGCCTGCCCTCCCCGGGCTCCAGCTCAGCCTGGGCAGGAGGGAGATGGAACCAGCTCACCGTGCCCATGCAAGGGCTAGAAACACTTGTCTGAATGAGCGTCCCACTCCAAACATGCCCTGCCATCACGCCTGGAGGCTGCCCCCTCTTGCAGCAGCCAAAGGGATCTGATGGACCTCTCAAGCTCTGAGCGAACCTGACCCGGAGTTGGGGGAAAGCCTGATGTGCCTAACCAGGCCTGGCTTGGGGGAGTCAGGCCCCCTTCCAGCAGTGACAAAAGGGGTGTCCAGTCTGAATCCTGTCCTGTCTTCTGAGCAGCAGAGCTGGCCCAGAAAAGCTTCCCCAAGGAGAGAGAGAACAGCTCAGGGATGGACATCCTGGGCACGTGGAGCATCTCCGCACAGAGGTCAGGTGGAGACCTGTCAGGGATGATGCAGTCCCACAGATCACACTCCAAAGCTCTGTGCAGCCTTGGAGACCTTTCAACCATTTATCCCCTGCTCTGCAGCCTGTACGTGGTCCCTGGCAGACAGGGAGCTCGGCAGGGCTGTAGAGTTGCCTTGGCACCTTTGGGTGGACTCCTCTCCCCCCAAGCCAGCAGCTTGCCTTCAGGGTTGTCATGACAGCCCTGTGGCGTGCGCCGTGGAGGTGGCTCCCGCCGGCGATTCACCCACAGCCCGTGACGTAGGAAGCTCCAGCCAGGCAGGAAGGAGGGAGTTATTTTAAACGCTACTCCATCTGGAGGTTTTCAGAGCCAAAGGGGAGGGATTCGGCTGCCTTTTCCACCATGTATTTGTAGCACCCATTATTTAAAGAGAGGTCAATGCTGGACAGGGATGCATTCCAGCATTCCAGGAATGCCCTCATGGGACCCTGAGCCATGTCTGTCCTTGAAAAACAGTGGTCCCTCACCAAGCCTCACTCCTGCATTAGGAGCTGTCTGCACTTCCTCTGGCTAGGCCATGCCGTTCACTGCAGACAGGAGCATGTCAGCGTTGGCCTGGTCCTTCTGGTGCAGCAAGGCCTCTTGGGCACTGCGGTGCAGCAATAGAGTGGCTGGGAGGAGGAGGAGGAGGAGGCTCTTTGCCAGGCTGGTGAGGCCAAGCAACGGAAGCAGGCTGCACAGCAGAGCTAGCTCTGCTGGGTCCCAAGCTCTTCCATACTGCTCCTGCTCTCCCCACTGCAGCTGCTGGGCCCAAGGAAACACAGTCATGAGTGTCTAGTCCCCCTGGAGCAGCCATGCCACGTCCAAGGCTCACGAGGCAGCTCTAACAGTGAGTGAGGCAGCACACCACACAGCACTGTCTTAGATCAGCACTGTGCTCTGGAAAACACCACACTTCCCTTCCTGCCCTTCTCCGGCCCCTTCATTGCATTGCTACTGTGACTCTAAGTCTTGTGGAAGAGGTGAAGCGCATCCCAACTCCCCACGGTTCACAGTATCTGGTCAGGCATTGCTGCGCACCCACGCTCGCCCTTGGCCCGGTCACGCTCGGTGCCCACGACCAGAGCTGCACACTAGCATTTTCAGGCTGTTCTAAATACTCCTCTCACTCACATTTGCTGTGGGACGCTGTCTAGGGCTGCCCCATTTGGTACCGCCACAAACCGATGGCTCAACGCTGCCTCACAGATAGTACCATTGCCACTTCAACAGCGAGACTGTATTTGCCCGTGGAAAAGCTGATATCCCCACAAATGTTCCCACTCTCTCCTCCAGATATCTTCATGCATTATGGACATCTGTGCTGAACGTCCCCATAGCCTGCTGCCTGCTGCTGCAGCTGCAGCAAGCAGCCATTTCATGAGCAGACGAGCCACACAAGCTCCTTTGCTCTTCCACAGCGTTATTCGCTGCCAGGACCCAGAGCTTTTCAGATCCCCTCAGCCTGCCAGCCCTGCTTTACAGTCAGCATAACTGAGTCCCCTCCCCTTCCGCCAGGCTGCAGTGGTCCCCAAAGGCCGGTACTCACTCGTGGTGCTTCCTGACATCTGGATAATGCATTTGGATTCCCGGCTCATTTCCCGGGAGTTGAATGGCCGCACTCTCACCGCCACCTTCACGGATGCTCCCGCCATCTTGCCGGCCGGAGGTGGGTCCTGCTAACGGGGAGCGGAGCCACGCGAGGAGCGTCCTGGAAAGAATGAGAAAGGAGGTTAGGAAAGCTGTCCCTTAGTCCTGCCCCACTGCACGGAGAGGTGAGCGAAGAACCAAACCACTGTCTTGTGGCTGTGCCAGGAAAATGAATGAAAAGCTGAGTCTGCATCAAGCCAAGACAATAATTTCCTAAGGTTTTCGGTGAAACGATATCTCCTGGAAACATCAGTCCATCTCTGCAGAAAATGTTTTCTTTGACCTCAAGCAAAACATGCTGCTTCATCCCTCAATTTGCCATTATTTTGCCTCTTCTGCCCTCCTTTTTATCCTAGGTCAGACATTCCAACGGAAAACGCTTCATTCCGTAATAAAGACGGAAAAATTTCATTCTGAAAACATAAAGCAGTGCTACATGTTTAGCAGTTCAGAAATGAACTCTTTCTTTCAGAAAACAGAGGTGTGTCATGCTCCCGCTTTCTGAAAACTGCTTCCCCTTGCTTTCACCGGTTGAAAGTATTTGACCCCAACCCCCAGCTCGGTTCAGGCCCCCAGCACAGCGCTCCTTGGCACCTTTCCCGGGCACGGAGACCATTTCGTCCCACTCTGGGCAAACACCCTTTCCAGCGGCAGGGAGCCAGCAGCAGAGCTTGCCAGCCCCAAGCGATTCACCAGGAGCCACCCATTCGGTGAATCCCCTGGGGTCATGGGACACGGACACGGGGCGCCACGGGATGTGCAGGGCTGTTGCCCAACTGATGTCAGGAGCTCCCAAAAAACCTTACCATCAAAAGCCAGGCTGTAACATATCTCAGGAAGAGGGCAGGAGACACTAAGGGTCATCGCCTGGCTCTTTGCACTCGCATGGTAAATAAGCCCCTGCAGGGTTGTAGGAAGGCAAAAAGCCCAGCCAGACCCATGGAGAAAATTCCCTCCTGGCCCCAAATCTGATCAATGTGCACGAACCTCACCAGCTCCCTGGTGAGAGCCTCACCCCGACAGCCACATCAGCATCGCGTGCCTCCACCTTTTCTGGGGCCCTGGACATCTCCAGGGCTTTGGAAAAAGGTGAAAATGACAGCCCAAAATCTAGGTATGACAGGGGCAGAGGGAAGGGTACTCCTTCCCAGCTCTCATCCCTACATCCCACACATCATCTCAAAGCCACTTCCAGAATTTCACCCTTCAAGGTTTAACAATCCCCTTGAGACCCCTAGGAAACTCATCCACTTGCAGTTTGCACCGGTATTACCTTTTACTTCAGGACTTTTCTTCCTTTGCCTACCCGGAGCTCAGAAACGCAGCCGTGAAGCATCCGGCCATGCCCTTCATCACAACAGGGTAGAGCTCTGCCCGTCTTTCACGAGGGCCCCGTGGAGAAGGGAGCGCAACGCGGGGCCCTGACTGCAGCCCGCAGCCTCTCCGGGCACATTCGTACCCTCGCTTTGTTTTCCAGCACCCTCTGCCACCCTGCTCAGCCCCAGGCGATGTCTCTGCCCTCACTCTGGGGATGGCACAACCACGAACAAGAGGAGCATCACGTCCAGGACCTGTGCTAGCCGGCTCTGCTTCCCCTGCGGCTTCGCTTGCCAGGCCTGATCCTTCCCTCGCAGTACCTCCACATCAGTGAACAGGGCTACGAGGGCAGTCAGAATCAGGCCCAGGGGAGAGTTTTTCCATGCCAGGGTGCTAACACCACCGAGCAGATATCCCTTCCCCTGCAGGCAAGCCTACCAGAGCACACCACATCTTGCCCATCACCTGAGCCTCCTGCCTCCATCCATGCCCCAGGGCAGCAGAGACGGAAAAGTGAGACCGTGCAGAAGAGGGGGAGGAAGGAGACTGCGTTTGCTTCAGTTCCAGAGGAGGTAGAAAGAGAAGGCCTCCTGCGCAAAAACTGCCATTTGCCTCTCATTCAGCTCCTGGGAAAAATAAAAGCGCCGCGTCAGCACGAGCGATTCAGCTGGCGGCCCGGGTGCCGCAGGCATGCGGCTTTGGGACAAACCGCTCTGGCGAGCGCTAGGATTTTGCGGCTCACTCCACACCTTCCTCCCTTTTCTCCCGCTGAACTTGCAAGTCGCCGTCCCCGGCGCGAAGGGCGCGCTGTGAAAGCGGGGCTCCCATGCCCCCCTGGGCTGGGAGCGCGGCCTTGGCTCGGTGGGCCTCGGCAGGGCTCCTCTGAAAACGGGGCTCAACGAGGAGCTGGGACAGCAGCCCAGCTGCGTGGCTCCAGCAGGACCAAAGCCGTGGGAGATGAGGCTCCTCTTCGTTCAGCCACCGGCTCCCTCCATCAACCTTCCTGCTGCGGTCCTGTTCCCAAGCCACAGCTCGCAGGACCTCCACCGTGTCCCCCATCACTCATCTAGACCGACAGCCCCAGGGCCATTCTGCCCTTCACTGGAGAGCACGGAGGGCTGCCGGTCAATAACTATTTTCCACTTAATCTAGCTAATCCAGCAATCAATTTTCTCTCAAAGTGAGGGGGCATGTCTGCAAGACAAGTCGAAAAAGCCTCCTGAGGGAAGTGGGCAGAAGAAATTGTGAGAGTACCTTAGGAAGGGAGACACCATCTCCCACCCATGCCAGCCTCCCTCAGTGTTTGGGGCTGTCCCGAGTGTGCCCTCAGGACACTGGCCAGTCCCACCCTCCACCCAGCAGTTTCCCGGAGAGGAACAAAGCCAGGAAGCCCACAACACGGACCGGCCTGGGATACAAGCAGGAGGAAAAGGGCACAGAGCACCAGTGAGCGGGCCAGAGCAGAGCGCGAGGGCGGCTGGGGAGACCCGCAGCAAGGAGCGGGTCAGAGGGCTGCGGTGGTGGAGGTGGTCGGCATGCAGTCAGTTAAAGCTCCAGGCTCCCGACCATTTTTCCACTGCTCTTTCTATTCGATTATTAACTGCAAAAATCACAAACCAAAATGAACAGCCCTGGAACGTCTTTTAGAGCACCCCCCCCTCCCGGCTCTCTGTGACTGGGCCTGACCCAAAATTAAGCCTTGCTAGTGTTAACCAGAAAAGGATGCACAGGGTCTTTTCATCTTGTCCGAGGTTCTCTGGCCTCTTTTCCATTCCCTGCATCCTTCCTTTCTTCTCCATGAAGAGCTAGTGATTTAGCAAAAAAATAAGCATTTTCTATCTTGCCTCAGTGCTTCCCTTTTACCACGATTCCTTAAAAGTCAGCCCACTCTTTTGACACTTTCCTCTCTCCACCGCCACCAGTTTCTGGTGCTTTCTCAAATAGGCTTACTAAAATACATTCTTTTCATCTCACCTCGCAGCTCGCCCTCCACCATGGGCTAGGAGCTGTGAAAGTGAGAACGGGGCACGCTTGCTTGTACAGGGTAGAAAAAATTAAACCGAGACACCAAAACAGCAGCTTGAGACAGGCCAGACAATGAGCAAATAGTCTGGCCTGTAGACCAAAAAGGGGTGAGTGATTACACAACTCTGGTTACTCTAGCTGTGCTTATAAGGAACCAGGTTGGGTCGCCCTCAGCAGAAGACATTTCCCTGGTGGAAAGGAAAATTCAACTGAATTTGTTGAAGACAAGGAAGAAGTAGGAAAAAAAATTGCAAGTGTCCCAAGAGAAGGGAGTAGTTTGAAATAAACTGAATTTTGACAGTTGAGTTTTCAGTTCCAAAGGAAAAAAAGATATATTTTGCCCAAAGGCAGGTATAGTCGTGGCACAATGGGAAATTTGCAGGCATAAAATATTGTAAGCTGGGCGCTTCCTTTCAAAAACGCTTTGCCCGTTTTAAAAGCGTGCCTACCTTTCTACTCTATAATGACTGCACTAGGAAGAAGACAAATATTCATGCTAGGTAGGAGTTTCCAAACCCTACTCCCACTACCTACCTTCAGCCAGGGCTCAGGATGGCTCCTGAGCTCACGCTGCTCTCATTCAGCAATTGCAACTTTAAATCCCATTGACTTCAAAGTTCAAGCGTGCGCTCTCAGGATTTCTTGAATGTAGACTACTTTAAAGATGTGTTTAACAACCTCGCTGAGCCCAGACCTGCTAAGCACAGTGCCGCGTATAAATACGCTTCTGCCTTTCACCATTCTGCTGCTTTCTTGGGTAGCAAAACCAAATAAATAAATAAATAAATAAATAAATTTGACTCCGTGCCAAAGGGGAGAGAAAAAGTTGTTTTTCTGTAAAATGACAAAATTTATATTCCTGGGTGGAACGGCTGCATTCTCACGAGGCCATCTGCTCTAGCTGGTGCGTCCTGAAACAGAGTCGGGCAGCACAGCCCTGTCTTGCACAGCCGGCGCTCAGGGACGATTGAATTGTTCCTCAGCTAAACTCCAAATGGCATTTGACAACTGGCCATGTCAAATGCTTTTCTCTCCTCCTCATGTAACTCGCAGACCTCTTTCCTCCCAACAGTGGAGGCTTTTCCTCTTCCCTTTGAAAAAAGGCCCATTAGCACTTGAAAGTCAGTTTGCAGCAGTTTGGTCTCAGCCACTCTCCCCGCAGAAGGGCCCCCTCCGCCTTAGCAAGGCGGAAGCACTCAGGTAAGGAGAGACGGCCCATCTCAGGTAGCTACACGGGCGCCTGCAGGCCCAGAGCTCCTACGTGGGATTAGACAAATCCACAAAGGACACGTCCCATCTGCGGCCGCAAAAACGTGGTCTGGCTGCAGCATCGGCTCAGGAAATCCCTGAACTAGGGAGCCGGAAGGGTCCAGGCAAGGGAAGGAGCTCTCCCTATACGGCCGCTCGTGCTCTGCCTGCAGGCAAGCAGAGGCAGCCTCCGGAGAGGGCGAGGGGCTCGCGGAGCCTTGGTCTCACCACAAGAGCCATGGTCTGGATCAAGGCTTTGTCAGCACTGCCTCCCCAGCCCCCAGAGGGATGGCTGGCTGCTGACAGGACAGGGAGGAACTGGGCCAGGTCCCCTGGGCTCCGGCCTCACGTCACAGATCCCCGTGCCACTCCCCTCAGCCACGCTGCAAGAGTCACTGTCACCCGAACAGCACATGCGGGACCATCGCTGGCCCGGGGCCCACACAGAGCGGCCAGGAGGGGCCGCAGAAG